AAAAAATAAAAACCCAAACACAACAAATAAGTACTCCTGTTTCTCTTTCACCTGATAAGAAAATGAAATTATTAATTTCATGTTATTTTGCAAACATAACATAGTTAATTTTTATACTGTTCTCTGTGAGTGTACAGTGTGTGTTATGTGTGTGTTTGTGTTTCACTAAAACCTTGGGGTATAATTTACCTTGTTCCATTAGTTAATTTTCCCCCCATGTAACCTAGTTGGTAAAAACTGGCTTTCACTTTCAAAAGAAATTTTTAAAATAATTATCTTTTGTCATAAAAAATCTTTGAGTTTCTTTCTGTTGAATCAAATGTGTTAATATATGTCTATGTTATAACCATCTCGGTTCTGATTTCTAAATTTAAGATAGTGTTTGCAGTATGTCTGCTAAAGGAGACCAGTCCTTTCCCTGTGGTATTAAACAAGAACTCCTCTCATCTGTTTTTGGTACTATTTCTTAATTCACCATGAGACACCATTTAATTTTTACTCCATTTTCCACAGTTAGGGAATTAATAGTAACTGGCATCAACATGGATGCAGGTCAGCATAACCTGAAAAGTTCAAGAGTTTCAGAACCATTTTAAAGAATTTTGGCATCATCACACAAAGTTGTACGTTCACACACTTTCTTGGCAGGCAGCTTCACCCTTGGAGAGATGCCCTGGAGAAAGGGTGTTCCAACAGACATGCAAGTATTGCCTTAGCGATATTATTTGCCATAGCAAAAATAAATAAATAAAGGCAGGTTATTGGGGTGGGTGGAATATTCTTCAGTAGAAAAATGAATGATTTTCAATATAGTCTAATAAATGAATGAATTATAGTTATAAATGTCAATATAGATGAACATAAAATATAGTGTTGAGGGTAGAAAAAACATCTCACCAGATGATATAAAGTTGAGGCACACCAGACAAAGGCAATCACAAACTACATATGTGCACATATGGAAATTTGTTATACACTGAATGTGTTCTTGCAGGTAAGTAGGAAAATGATGGACTACTCAATCAGTGGGGCTCAGATCATTGATTTCAAAGTGGCAAAAGTACTAAATTTCTCCCTTGAACCATACAGATATTTGCAGGAAGAGATCCAATTGCATAAGGCAGAAGTTTTTGAAGACAACAGCATAGGCTATCTTTATTACCTTGGAGTGGGGAAGGATTTTTTGAAAGCAGAAAAAACACTCATCCTCACTTCATTTAAAACATTAATTCAATGAAATATTCTTGGAGATGCCTTTTCTCTATATTCTGTGTAGTGTGTGGTCATTTCTTTTGCCTAGCTTTATCTTTCCAATTATACTTGTGATGTGGTGACACTTATTTGCCTATTTTCTACCTTGGCTTACTTCTGTGTAAAACCCCATGCTTGTAATTAATGGCTCCACAGATATTGTTGAGTAAACAGAAAATCTAATAAATTTGACTATATTGAAAAAGTTATGTACATCAAATGAAATGATAAACTAAGTGAAAAGACTTGCAAAACAATACCAAGGCTCCTAAAATTAATTAGATGTTCTGACAGAATAATTAGCAGAGGGTACAGATAATTCACATCTAATAAACATGAAAGACACTCAATCTTACTAATATCAAGACAATGTATGATAAAATCACAATGAAAAGCTATTTTGCCCCCACCAGGTTGGCAAAAACTGAGTAAATTGGTGGGACTATTAATTAGTACAATTACTGTGAGAACAAATATAGCCTGATCTCATAAAGCTGGAGAGGACCCAGTTATTTCTTATCCAGATATGAGCCATAGAGAGGATTTTGCATACAAAACAAACCTGAAAAGACAATTATTGTAGCATAGATTGTAGTGGCAGGATATTGGAAAGAACTTAAATGTCTACTGACTTGAGAATTTAAAACTAAATTTCAGAAGTGTGAATTGGAATACTATAGAGTACTTAAAACAAATTCATTATAGCTAACTAGCAGAACCAATCTCAAATACATTGCCTTGAGAAAAACAAAATGCTAATGGTGGGCACACTATAATGCTGTTTAAATTTTCAGAACATGACATGCAGCTTAGATCTGTTTCTCAGAGCCCAGTATGCCTAAGAAAATTGCATCTAGTGTTCAACCCTGACACAAAGAAAAGTCCACCAACTCCAATTTTAAATCAAATTAAAGCAAGCTTGCATTGTGTACACACACAAAAAAGAGCTGATCAGTAGCTGTCTCTCCCAATCCAGGCTACAGATCAGCACTCCAGCTGTCCAGGAACAAGGTTTTATAGCACAAAAAGTTGCAAATGGGGGTGTCTTGAGAACTTATGGATAACAGGATTTTTGACAAGCATAATACAAAGGCAGGTAGTAAGTTAATGATCTACATGGCTTAATATTTAAAGATAGGGCATACATTTAGATCCCAACATCAGAATTTATGAGGTGCTGCTGATGTTTCAGGGAGGGTTGTTTTCTCTTCAGGGGGAGCCAGGATTATGAGGTTTCACTAAGATTTTAGAGAGGCTTGTTATCTGGTCCAGGAAAACAAGGCATGAGTGAGTTCAAGGCACAGGCAGGAATTGCAAACAAGTTTAGAAATCACAGTAATTTTTAGTAAAACAGAAATTAACATTTCATGACTTTGTGATGAGATGGCTTCCAATATTAAAATGGAATTAGGCTAGGTTCATCACTAGGAGTACTCAACTTCAAATTCAGGGCATTGTAGATATGTATGGAAATGTCATGAGGTACCCCATAAACAATTATTTTTATGTGTCAGCTTAAAAATAAATTTAAATGTGAACACTTGCTACCAGCACATTATTCTCTTTGGTAGTCTTGCCAATCAAAACCATCCTCAATACCAGATGGTTTTGGGCTGGGATTGTCACTCAGTTGTAGAGCAGTTGCCTTGCACATGTGAGGCACTGGGTTCAATCCTGAACACCACATAAAAATAAATAAATAAAAGTATTTTGTTCATCTACAACTTAAACAACAACAACAACAACAAAACAACAACAAAAAATTACGGTTGGTTGCCCTGTTCTCAGAGGTGAAGTTTCCTATACATTTTTGTACCACTTCCACATGAAATATTCCTCAGTTGAAATTTTCCTACAAACTCTAATGTGTCTGTCAGGCAGCCAATTTAGCAATTCATTCTAAAAAATACTCTCTGACTTCCAACTATAGGTTAAATTAATGTAAGGTCTGATTTGTATAGTGAATATCTGTGTTTTTAGTGCCAGATACTCTGTTTCATATTGTATGGCAGCTACAGTGATGATAACAAAAGGAAACTAGATGAGGGGCTGGGGGTGTAGCTCAGTGGTAGAGCACTGCCTAGCATGTACAGTGACTGTAACTGCTTCTATCTAAGGAGACTGGATGGAACGTTCTGGGTGTTTTCCTATTCCTCACAGCTTAATATGGTCATTCTGCTAATTTTTAGTTATGTTTTATTTGCTAGTTAAAAATATTGAAACTTTTTCTCAAGCTGAATTTCTATACATATTTCTAAGTAATATCTTATGGAATATGTTCAAGTAATTTGTATACTAACAAATATTGTCTTTTTAATTTATTGAGATATATTAAAATATCCCATTGCATTGTGGATCAGATCAACTTTATAATTTTGCCAAGTTATTCATTTAACTTTATTCATGTGCTACCTTGTTAAAAATAGTGGCCTCAAGAATGCTGAATGTGGTTTTGTTTATAATAACACTTATCATTTTCAACATTATTAGTAATTTTTATTCCTTAAGCTGAGTGGAAACTGGTCACATGCTTATTTTATTAAAAATGAATATTTAAAGATCACTTTATGTATATAAAATGTTTTACAAAATATGAATATGCTTTTAGCACAATAGGATAAAAATAGTTACTTTGTATTAATAAAATTATGCATTTTAAATCCCTTTTAACATTTTCTTTGTGAAATTTTATTTCTTTTTCACTTGGAAGAAAACTATTTTGAATTTAAAAAAATTACAGTAAATAATCATGAAGAGGTTAACATTTGGGTATTTCAGCTGTGTGATGTCCCTTGTGGGGCAGTGTTTCTAAGCTATAAATTAGGACAGGTGGGCCACTTTGTTCTGAAACCTCATATTTACTAAATCTTCTTTTTTTTTTTCAGATGAGAAATTTCACTCCCACCATCCTTTTTTGGCCAAAAGCAAAATTATGTAAATTTCAAAGTAAAGTATAAAATAAAAGGCAGCCTTTGTTTCATTTTTGCTGAAGATCAGCTGTAAGTAACAGCAGAACCTTCTCCTGGGGAGTCAAAGTACCCCTTCACCCCTGGCAAAAAAAGGACTCTTTGGGGACAGAGTGGGGTAATATAAAGATGTCACCAGAGCCAGGTACATTGTTTATGAATTTCCATGCTTTTTGATACTTACTTTATAAAATTTTAAGAAATACAATATGTTATGAGAATTATATCACTGTTTTACATTTGTGACTGTATTCTATTTTGTATCAATCCACAGTGAAGGTGGTGCTGAGCAAAAATTTAAAATATCTGACAAAACAATTAATGTTAGTGATTGTGTACCTAGAAATCAATGGAATATGTTTGTAGATCCAAAATTCAAAACTGTTTACAATGCATTCATGAGATTTCAATTTTATATTAAAAAGGTTGATATTTGTATACAATTTTTGTCTTCTTATTTTAGCAGATATCTTAAGAATTTATCAAGTTTGGAAGAAGTATTTTTAAATTCAATTCAATTTTTTTCTTTCTTTTTGGAATTTTATTTTGTTCACTATTATTGCCATTGCTTCCAAGGAATGAGATTTTATTTTGAAATGGATGAAATCTAGAATGTCATTTTTTATGATAAGTTCCCAGCTTCTTGATGTCCATGTCATAATTCTTTGTATTTGTGAAATTATAGAAAAACTATCCATTTTCAGGAAAGTAGTCATTGAAAAAACCCACCAAGTAAATGTATATCTATGTATATATGAAAATATGTGGTGTTTTTGTTAATATTCAACAATATATCATGTGAGCATTAGAGACTGTGGATTCCTGGACATCTCCACCTGGGTCAGGACCATACTGAGGGCTGTTTCCAAGCTGGCTTTCAAGAACTTCAATGTTGGTGATTGTGATTGTGCTCATTTGGCTCATTTTTAAGATTGTGGTACAGTGAAACTGTGGTTCTGATTCCTGGTGTTGGAGGGTAAGATGATCTGGAACTTTTAAGTCCCATGGGCACCACATGGCCAATTGGATCAGGCACCCTTGAAATATCTGTAGCAGAAAGGCTGTGCTGCTAGCTTGGGATTTCATAAGGTGGAAATGTCTTTGATGAGTGTAAGAAAACAAAGGTTGGGACAAAGTATGGAGTTCCACAGTCCTGGAAGACTCACTTGAATTCCTCTGGTTAATGAGCTGCTTGTAGCCTTTTTTCTTCAGTTCATAAAACTGAAATGAGAATCCACCACAAATTAGGCCTTCTGGAAGCTGAGGTAACTAAGAAGGAAAGAACCTGGTCCTCTCTTTATGTAGATTGCAGCATGCTAGCAGACAGTGTTGCTTACATAATCTCTATAGTACAGAAATGCTCCATAGGAGCTCCATGCTCAGGCAGTCTTCTCCTGTGGCCTTGAGACAGGTCCAGGAGCCTAGTTCTACAGTAAAGTTCAGGACCTTGGCAAAGCAAGGGGGATAGGGCTTGTCTTTCAGAGATGTACTTCTATGTGGTGGCAAATGGCCACATAAGCCTGTGTAGGTTTAAATTAAAACCCTTTAATAATTGCACTTCTCCATCACACTAGCTACATGTCAAGTGCTCTGTGTCCATGAGTGGCTGGTGCTGTCTTTAAGTTCTAAGTTAAGTAGCTTTCAGTTGGGAATCATTGTAATAAAGCTGCAGTGAACACTTAGTACATCAGCCTTTGTTAGTACCTTATTTGTTTCATGATCCACCAGAGGTGGAATTACTGCATACATTCTGTGTCTGTTTTATGGTTCCCTAATGATCCAGAGTAGAGGTGTCATATATAAATATTTTTCAAAGAATGGCAAAGAAGAGGGCAGGTCTTACTGAATTCTCACCTTCTAGACTTGAATACTTGGTCTGAATCCTTGCTAAGTGGCTAGGCAAGAAGCACTATTTCATGTCCAATCAGATGCAAGGTCCAAGTCAGATGCCATGCTCACAGGTCCATGACTACTGTGGAACAGCTGTGGAGACTTCCTTCTCTAGGTTTTGATGTGGATCATTTCCCACCACAGTATTACATTTGGGGTGAAACTAGCTATGGAGGGCACTGAAACTGTACTTGCATTGACACTTGCACTCTGCTCTTTTATGACTATTTATAGTACCACGTCTTTAAAGTGTCACTTCACAATACATAGAAAGAAACTGTAGTCTGTACATTCCCTCCACCTGACTCCTCCTGTAGATTCTGATATTTACTCTTATTCCTCCAGGTCCTTGGTTTATTGTCTCCTTTTGCCTGAGAGCCTCAGTGCTGAAGATGCATTACCACCATACATTTGCCAGTACATCTCATACATGGCTGGCCTGTGATTTTCAGGTCCCAAAATGATGAACTACTTAATGGAAATTATCTGATGGACTCACTCTCATAGAACTTTAACTCTGGTAGGGAGGGCCTGGGGATGGGAGGGAGGATTGATGGAGTGAGATGTGGGTGTCCTTCTGTCTTCCAGTTGCCACCTGGGAGGCATAAGTGCTGTGAAGCTGTTCTAGTCCTGAGGCTTACAAGTAAGTGGATCATTTTGTTTCCATTCTCTTTTCCTTGCTTAAGAAACTCCACTAAATGTAACATGCCTAGGGAGTTTTCCTTGAACCTTAAAGTATGGGGTAGAAATTAAAAGCTTATTAATTTTCATGTAATTATGAGTCTGTGATATGTACATTTAAGACTATTCACATCTTGAAGAAATCTAATATTTAAAATAAAACAGTGTTTCTTATTAATGTTTGTGAAGCCAGTATGCTCTGTGAGCTATGGCATGTAAAACTGTTATGAAATTTTGAACAAAAGTTAAAATACAAATACAATTGTGGGAATACTTACATACATAAAATATGTTTCAGAGAAATAAAATTTGCATGATTGTCTTTGCAACTTTTGAGAGAAAAAGTGAACAGAGTGAGGAGCACTTCTGCCAAGGAGTTGATCCTGATAGAAAAGGAGCAGAAAGTTCTGTGCACATAGATGAATGGGTGATCAATTTCCAGAGATGAGCAGGTGCAGGGTACAGAGTTAGCTTTCGTAGAGTTCTGAGTGTTTGGGTAGGAAGGCTACAGGTGCCATCCTAGGAGGAAGGACCACTTCAGGGTCTTGGGGAGGTTCACACAGGAAGCCAATCTATAGGGTTTCAGTTCATTAGCTGCCCACTCTTCCCCATGCCAACTCAAGCCTGCCCCCTGCCTCAAAGGAATCCCCTTAGCAGAAAAATTGGAGTCCAAAGTGTCAAGGGCCCTACCTATACAATTAATAACTGATTGCTACATGGATGGATTAGAACATAATGTGCTCCTGTGCCCCTTTGGATGACATCCTAGGAAGAGATCAGTGTTGTAGCCACCTGGAGCTATGCACTTGAGGGGACTAACAGTCCATTTTGGTTCAATGAGCCTGGGTCTCTGGTCAGTCTAGATGGACATGTGCTTTGTAGCAACTAGGGTGTCATATGGCAGAGGTGCTAATCTGTCATGTGGACACAGAGGGATGGTCATGAGTGCTCAATGGAAGTGGAGTCCTCAGGGCCTGAGGCCCAGAGACAGCCCAGCCTCTGGAAGCATAGGCTGCACCTATAGCTGCAGGTGGGCACTGTACAGTGAGCTAGGAGGCTGGAGAGAGCAAACCTGTCACCAAGGAGCTTTTATGGCTTCTTATCCTGAAGAGCAAATCATGAATGAATTTTGGCAGAAAACCCTTATGTGTATAGTCAATATTATGATGTGCTAAGGCATCACCCAGAATGCATGGGCATGCCAATGATGAAGAACCTTTGCAACAAAGGGTGCTGTGAGAACAGACAAACACATAGAAGAGAATGGAGTCAGACTCCCTCTCTCACTTCATACACAGACACACAGACACAGACACACACACACACACACACACATAAAAAAGCACACACTCTCAAAATATGTCACAGAACTCAATGCAAAATTAAAACTACAAACTCTTAGAAAAAACAGGAATACATTGTTTTGGCCTTACATTTTTTAGTAGTGGTTACTAATATAAGGCACCAGCTAAGCAACATAAGAAGTAATAAGTAAATTGAACTTCATTGAAAATAAAAGTTTTTGAGCATTAAAGAATTCACTAAGAAATTGAATTGACAACTCACAAAATGGAAGAAAATATTTGCAAATCGTAGGTTATAACTCAGAAATGATGGTTACCCCAAATATAGAAAGAACTGTTACAATTAAACAACACAGAAAATCCAATAAAAAGTGTTCAAAGACTTGAATATGCAGTTCTCAAAAGATCATTATGTTTGCAAAACAGTCATCATTTATCATTTATCATTAAGGATTTGCAAATCAAAGTCATAACAAGAGACCACTTTATGACTAGAAGGATGGCTACAATCAAAGACATGGACAATGGCATATGTTCTCAGGGATGAGGACACACAGTGACCTGGGGAAGGAAATGTAAAGGATGTGCCTACTTTCTAGCACAGTCTGGCAACTCCTTCCATGTTAGACACAGACTTACTAAATGACCCAGCAATCCCACTCCTAGGTGTACACCCAAGAGAAACAAATGTAGACATGCACACAAAAGTTTGTATATGAGTGTTCACAGCAGTGTTATTCAAATAGCCAAAAGTACACGTGACTCACTCAACTAACAAAATAGATTAATAAATATGGCATATCCATCTAATGGAATATTGTTCTGCAATAGAAAGGAATGGAGTACTGATAACATGCTACAGCATGAATGAACCTTTAAAATATTAGGCCAACTCAAAGAAGCCAGTCACAAAAAAAGACAGGGTCTCACTTAAGGCCCTGATTTCACCCTTGACGAAGGAAGTGTCACTTGGCACTTTGTCCCATGTGCAGGCAGCCACACACCTCTCCAGGCACAGTTAAGAGACAGGCTTACTGAAACGTTTCTAGGAGAAGCCAGGTTTCACAGCATACTTTGCATGGTTCCTCCTCCAAATTCCCTGGTACCACAATTCATTTCAACACCTGTTCCTCCATCAGGTTCTCCAGACAGAAGGCAGCATCTTCCAGAATATTCTTTGTCATGCCATGCCATTTTCCTGCCCAGACTTCTCCATTCCTGCCTTCTTCTGGACCTCACCAGAGAGCCAATTTCAAGTTTTCTCAGGGCAGATCTCACTGCTCTCAGGCAGCAGACCCTGCAGCCTCCAGCTGGTCTCCTTAGAAGCATGGGCTAATGGAAGAGAGGGGACTCAGGAAAAAGTGCATCATGTAATTTTTATCACAGAATTTTCCTATGAGTACATAAAGTATATTCATGTTTTGAATAGAGGTTTACATGTCCCAAAGGAAGTTGTCATTTCTTATTCTCAATAATCTGTCACTTTAAAACACTCTAAAAATAGGAGGCCACACTTGTCATATTTTTGACCTTCATAAAGTTGTATGTTGAAAAAAAAGACAAAAAAAAAAGTTGTATGTTGTCCTCTGACCCAATATTGATATAGCTAATGGCATAATGAGTCATTCAACCAAAATTTCAGGCAAGAATTTATGAACAGCATGCCATCACTAACCAAGCCCCCCCAAATGAATCCTCAAATGGACACCTCACCAGACTGGATATCCCAGGATGCAGCTCTGTTACTGCTGTTTACCGGTGATGAGTCCTTGCTTCCCCAATGTTGAAGTATAACACCAGAGAAGAATGCTGAGGCACATTTAGAATGGAAAGTAGAAGCTTTATTATAGGACAGCAGAAAAGACTTCTCCCAGAGGAAGAAGGGGACCCAAGAGGTGGAATCCTTGGAAGGGCGATGTTTTCCCCTTTTTATAGCTAAGGTCTTCATTCAGCTTTTCCACATTCCTGTCGCATTCCTGTCCTTTGTTCTGTTAACTTTCAGTGATGGAATGTAGGTGGGAAGGCCCAAAGGGTGGAGCACAGGTGGACCAAAGGAGTAATCTGGGCAGGAAGGACTTTTGGATAAGCATCTTCATGTTTGCTGGGAGGTGTTTCATTAACATTTCTTTGGGAGGGGTTCTGGGTCTTGGGACATTAACATTTCAAGAGTTGTTCTGCTTTTCTTGGACTCCATCCTCAACATGGCCTTCATTTTTAATTTTATTTGATATTAGACCCAATTTATCTAACTACACTGACTACCTATCTTTAAATCTGGCTTCAGCACCATCTGAAACACCTATTGAAATCAGGCCACATGCCATCCTCACTGAGAACCCACTTGTCTGTTCCTTTAGACTCACAGTTCCCTCACTGGTATCCCTCAGTTGTTTTCCATTTTAAACATTTTATTGTGGTTATAATATACATGATGTAAAATTTGCCATGTTAACCATTTTTAATATA